GTAGCTCGCCACCCGACCAGAACCAGACCCGGCGCTCACGAAACGCTACAGTGCGTAGCGTTTCGTGAGCGCCTCAAAGAGCCAATAGACCACCACAAACGAGGCCCTATAGGGTTGATTTTCCAAGGTTGGGGGGTAAGCGCAATGACCTATCGCGCCCTCGGACTAAAGCAGAAGAAAGAACGGGAGGTTTCAAGTCAGTAAGAGTTTGACACTTCCTCTCGCCTTACCCAGGTCGGGAGAAGTTATTTGATGATTTTCCTATAACAAAAAAAGCCCAGTCGACTTTGCACTAAATATTTAGAATTGAAAAGAAAAACTGTTAACGGTAAAACAATTCTGTATTACATTTTATTTTGCCAGGGGACTTTCTAAAGGACAAGTACGAAGGCGCAACAGAAGTGAAAGTGTCGAGAAGAGGGAAATTGAGGCTCAGCAACCCACACTACACGCTGCCCACCGCGCAAGACCTGGTCTACCTCGAAGACTCGCCGAACTACTGCGTGAGGAACGAAACACTGGTAATCTTTTATTCTTTTTATGTGGGCTTGTGCGTAGATTCGCGCAGGCCAAGCTACAGCCAGAGTTGGTTCAAACACAATAAGAACCGGTCTAGAGCAGGAGACAGGGTGGTTTTTAGACAGTAGGAGTCTGATGGATCCCCCCAAAATGAAAGTCGGTGAGGTATATCACAACTATAAAGTTGAAAATCAAATAAGAAAATTTGTCAAGAAATAGTAAGTAGCTGCTACAAAACTGCTGATGTACTCAATAAAAAAAAATCTTATACCTACCTAAAAACGCTTTAAAGACTTGGTCAGGTTATCATTGAAATATGTAAATACAGGATTGAATCATTACTTAGCCAACGTCGATCCATTATTAAAACAATGTTGTATGATTGATTAATTAATAAGCAAGGAGTTTCTGTAACTGTATGACTCGTTTATCGAGTGTATCAATAAAAGTATTTTTTAATCATTCAAGTGTCTTGATCTGGTTTCGCCATAAATATCGACTAAGGAGCTATCTGGGCATAATTTGCATCAAATCAATTATCCTTAATAAGGATCTGCTGAGAATGTAGTACCTTTATGTATGTAGGTATGTAATTTGTTTTATTGATCTAAGTAATTTTATTGACTTATAATTGTCGCAAATATTCGAACGGGTGCGATGTTGATACAAAATTTCTCTACAACTTAATGAATGTTGTTATTATACATATAAACCTTCCTATTCAATCACTCTATTTATTACAAAAATCCGCATCAAAATCCGTTGCGTAGTTTTAAAGTATGGGCATAGGGACAAAGAAAGCAACTTAGTTTTATACTATGTGTGATGGCTTCAACAGCGGTATTTAGGTAATAAGTACTCAGCCAATGTGTTTATCCAGACTACTATCCATTACAATGCCAAATTTTATCCAGATTCGTTTAAGAGTTTCTGCTTACATACACATATCAATATATTTTACATCCTCACTTTGGAATTGGCAATTCTGAAGAATAATAATATCTTCACAATGATTGAAAAATTCATTTGTAAAGACATACCTACGCAAAGTATTTATAACTCATTAAAATTGAGATGATTATTCGAAGGGGGAAATCATCAAATGATTTTTTTCGCCATGTGTTAGAGGGAGTGTCAGACTCTTAGGTACCGTAGTAACTAAAACCCCACGTTCCTTATCCTGTTCCAGGCCGAGGCCACGGTTTCTTAAGCCCGGCTAATTAATATGAGCTAGAAACTTGATAACTCAACTAATGTAAATAGGTTCTTACTAACTGTTCAATTCCCAGTGCCACCTGTAGGTGACATATATGTTTAGGTATTCGCGATTTTTAAAATATTTTTTTCTTATTCGTAGTAAGTAATGACATTGAATACTGCTTTTACTTTATAATTGTTCTATGTGGCGAAACACAACACGAGTCTATTGTCAAACATATATTATACTAGCTACTCTCACGCGGTTTCACCCGCTGCTCGGCTGTGGTTATGTTTTATTGCCAAAAGCCTTCCTCAATAAATGGTCTATTAGACACGAACAGATTTTTTTTATTGAAACCAGTATTTCCTGAGATTAGAGCGTCAAACAAATAAAGAAACTCTTCATCTTTATAATATTAGTATAGATATTTTATGATTATTAAACTAAAATGTTTAGATATTGTTTTGAAAGTGAGAATTGAAGAGTTAAATTAATAGCATTTTGTTCTCCAGGGATCATACGGTACTACAGGCAGGCAGTGTAACAGGACATCATCAGGCATGGATGGCTGTGCACTCATGTGCTGTGGAAGAGGCTACAACACAAGACGCGTCACGGTCAAAGAGCGGTGCGGATGCAAATTCCATTGGTGCTGCCGTGTAGAATGTAACACTTGTGTCAAAACCACCGAGTTATATACTTGTAAATAGTTATCTACAAGCTATTCAGGCTTCTCTAATCTTTTTGTAAGGTACCTACCTATAGGTCGGCTAACGAGCCGATGGATTCCCTACCTGAAGTTAAGCAATCAGCGCCGACCATAGAATGCAACACCAAAGGAGTTACGAGTGCGTTAAAGGCTTTTTAGGGATAAGGGTTTCGGGTATTTAAGATTGGGAACGGATGTGGGGAAGGGAAGGGATTGTGCCTCCGGTAACCTTCTCACACGGCGAAACAACGCTGTGGTTGTTTCTCACCGGTTTTCTGTGAGGCCGTGGTGTCACTCCGGTCGAGCCGACCTATTCGTGCCGAAGCATAGCTCTCCCACACTTATTTTGGAAATCCGACCAGCGATTCCAAAGATTACCGCACCGCCTACATACTAATTTGCAAAACGTCATTATAATATTAGTATAGGTAAGTGTGGGACAGCGGAGTGACAACACAGAATAATAGAAAACTGGTGTGAAACCACCACAGCGTTCTGAATCGTCGTGTGAGTGAGGTAACTGAGATAACCCGACCTGATTCTCCCCTTCATCCATCCTCAATACCCAGATATTCAAATCTCTTACCCCCAAAAGGCTGGCAGCGCAGTCTTGACTCCACTGGTGTTCCCGATGGCCTACAATCAGGTTAGTCTGTAGGTATGCCTACCGCTTTATCACATGAAATGAAATTTTCGAAGGTGCACGACTCGTTTCAGGTTGAGTGCACCTTGTGTTTATGAGCCCCGGTGTTCGTCGCAACTAGTTGGACATTCTCAAACTCAAACGAGCCATAAATTTTCGTACAAAAAACCTTCGTGTACTACAGAAATAAGTACTTAAATCGATATGTTTATGATAGTGATGTTTTGTCGTGTTTAGATCTCAATCTCAATCTATTGATGAATGAATGATAAATCTCTATTGTTTCTATTTAATTATTTATTGCATAATAATTATTCGATATTGTACCTAGGTACATACTTACTGCTCAGTATTTATTTTGTAGTTGTTTGTATTTGAAATTTATTGTACCTATTTTTTTAAATAGGTAGAGTATAGGCATAATATTGTGATAAAGCTTAAATCATGTGTAAGTTTTTAAAATTAACAATTGTCAAGAAACGGCTCTCGTTATTTTAAAAATAATTAGGTATATTCTGGTAGTTTTAAGTCGTAGGTTAATTTAATGTATTGTTAACCGTTAAATACTCATTAGATATATTATACTATTATCTATTTCTACCACCTATTTGTAAATAAATTGTTCCTAAATACGTCTCTGTTAAATTATTGCCATTATTCTGTAGAGTCATAAATAAAAAAATTAATAACAAAATGTTTTTTTTTACCTAAAGTAACATTTTATGTCGGCCCTAAAATTATTTTTTTCTTCAAAATAACAGACGTATAAAGCATTTAGCAGACTAAAATTTTAAAGTAACAACACACATTTGAACAAATTGCTTAAACGGGGACAGAATACGGTCGTCAGCAAAATAGAGGACTTTATAGGTACTAGACCTACTATTTGTTTATTATCTAGGGCAACAAAATTATTATGTGAGTAGATTTGATACATATGTATATATCAATTTAATATTAAAATTAAATAAATATTACCATTAAATTGCAATCATCAATTCACAGTAGCCATTTCAATTTTTAACAATTTAAAAACATGTCAAGTCTTTTAAACTCTGTAATTCAGATGGTGTTTTATTCTTTCTCAATTACTTAACTAAAAGTATGGTCAAATAGCAGAACAGTTCATTAGTCTACGATACAGATTATCAAAACAGGTGATTTGTTAAAAAAAGTCATAAGCCGCCGGAGACAGCCCGGGCGTTGAGGGAATTGCGACGATCTCCTGCCACGGTAGGCGTAAAAGGGTCTGCGGACTAGCGAGGATAGCTCGGCCTTCAACCAGAACCAGACTCAAACACACGATCCTTCTTCCAAAGAGCCATCAAAACACTACAGATCGGGTCCACTGGGGCCGACGACCAGCCAGGATTGCAGGTGGAAGTGCAATAATGCAGCGCGGCCTCTCGGCCCGGGACAGGTGTACCAGAAGGAACGAGGTCCGACACTCCCTCTCGTGGCACCCTGAAAGAAGTTTGTTCATTTTTCTCCCTTAGAAAAGTATATGGTGTTCTTAGAGATAACACTGTATCACCGGTACGTCCTAAACTTCACCATATTATTTTACTGTTCAAGCCTTAGTGGTAAGAGTATTTTTTTTCCTATTACATGATAAGGCTTGTCAATATGACACAAAAGGAATGAATTGCCATTATTCAGTGGTCGCTTTATAGAATAAGAACAGAGATTTATGGAAACCTAACAAATGTTTAGTCTGTTACGGTTTTACATATCTGTGATCCAAAATACATATTCTCAATAAAGCTCTTCTATAATTCTGTACTTTTTAAGTATCCATGTTGTACCTAGAGGCGTGCGGATAATCTTTACATCGCCAATAGAAAAGTATTAATCCTTCCATGTCCATGTGTGTATCCGATCGTTTTACGAACTGACAACCACGTTACGTTATAATCTGTGGCGTATTAAAAAAAAGCGTATACGCCATCTTTTTAATCTTTGGCATATTTTGAAAATTGAATTGTTTTAATTTTTCCTTGCTCACTTACTATCGATATAAAAGTGTGTGAATTTTTTCTATTAAAAATTATAATTTACAGATTCGTAGTGTAATTAAGAGACATTGCTATGGGCAAGCCGTCGTCTACCTCACTCTCTGTTAGTTGAAAAATTCGAATCTGTGTACATTTTTGTTGTTTATTTACAAATCTACAAGTATGTAATTTTTACATTATTGTAAGCATGTGGAGCTTTGGGTAATGAAGAACCTGCTTTAAGTGTGTTTTGCTTATTATTGGAACGATTAACCATGAAAATATTTTGTTTTATAACCTTGTTATGGAAACATTGACTTTTGCCTCTTTATTGTTCTGACAAAAGCATCAAAAATGTTAATATATCGTATTTGTTTGTTTTACTACATGGTTTTTAAGTCATTATCTCCTCCAGCCCTCATTCATGTCGAAAATTGGTGTATGCTGAGCAATATAATAACAATATTATTAACTTCTACCTACATTTATCAACATTAGTGCTGTGCACAAAACTCTTTTATTCGTTTCTTGCCCAGTCACATTTTTACTAACATTGTACATTAATTAATATAAAGCTGAGGAGTGTGAATACCATCAGCCGGGGTTGGGGGTCAAATGCAATGACACATCATGGCCCCCGGCCTGGAGCAGGAGAAGTAACAGGGTAGTTTATAGTCGGTTGAAAGTCTAAGAGTTAACACCTCTCATCTGCATTCAGGCGAGATAAAATATTTGATGATTTACCCATTTTAAAAATTGAGCCTTATTATAGGTATAATCTTAGGAATAACTCAGTGCTATTGCCATTATAATTATAATTTTATTGTTTTGTGTGTCACTAAAAATATGATTGACTTGCGGTTATTTCATAAAGAAACCTAATGACCTTATTATATTGTGCATGTGTCTCAAATTTGTCTAAACATGATATTTGTTTAGTTTTGTTTGCTAGCTTTTTTATTGCTATGCGATATTATGCAATCCTTTACACATTTTTTATAATTATTAACATGTATGTCTTTATATTTTAGAGATGTTCTGAATGCTCACTGCATTCTAATAAGCAAAGAAACAAAGTGGCAATGAGTGCCCATAAAATGGAACAAATGAGAAAAAAGAGACATTACCATGTTCAGAAGAATATAAGCAAAGTATTCAACAAGTTAAAACGAGACTCCATTGGTTCTAGAAGTTGTGTGTCACTAACGGACACATCTTTTGATGAAACCCCACATAACCTTACTATTGTCGTAGCCAATGATTCATACCAACCGGAACGTAAACGGAAGAGTCCTGTCACTGTCAATGCAATATCAGATATACCAAGCAAAACGAGAAGAAAAAGCGACAGCTTGATTGTCATCAATGATGATGACCAAGAAACAACTAATGATTCATGTATTCTTTTATCTCCTAGAAGAAATAGCAACTCTCATGTAAACTGTTCCACACCCATCGCTATAAGAGATAGCCAAACATTAAAAAATCACATCATAAGTAATTTCAATCCAGCACCAACACCAAGTGAAATTCAATCTCCAGAAGAGCCTAAAGAAAATGATAGAACAAAAGTGATCAATAAGGATTCATTTGTAACAATAGATTTAACAGCTGATAGTGAAAATAGGACTACTGATAATGTAATAGATGTAGATAAATGTCCAGATAAAAGTGACTGCCAAGATTGTACTCTGGTGTCCGTATCTAATGCGAGCCTCTCTATGAGTGGTGATTCCGATGTCACAGTGATACGAAATAAAAGGCTAGGAAACAATACTCAAGCCAAGAAGCTCGCAAGGGGTCTGGCCCAGATGAACACGTCTGAAAAAGAGAAACTACTGAATCTTATTGCTCAGCAAATATTCAGAGGTTGCGATTTGAAGAATAGTGCTCAAAGCTTAGTTCTACATAAGGTAAAACTTATTTTTTGTTTAAAGCATCTTGAACAAGATCCAAATGTCCATATGCTGAATATCAATAGAAAATAAAGCCTTTGCCTACTGATGGAAACCTGTCAATAGCAAATCCTAGTTTACCAGAATCTGTGTTCAACATACTATTCCTGGATTCTTCAAATAATGCTCATAATGTACTTCCCATAAAATATTGTAATAAGTTGTAGAGACTCTAATTTCAGTATCTATCAATATTCAATATAAAATTCTCAGGAAAACCAAGGAACAGAGACTGATGAAGATGCATACATAAAAGAAGTGATTCTAGGACAGACAAAATCGAAAGAGGCAAAACAGTGTCTTTCCAGAAATAGTATCGGCAGCAATATATATAATCCGCGGAAAGATGCTAAGAATACTACAGGCTTGCGGATGATTATCATTGATGGAAGCAATGTGGCTATGGAGTGAGTATGCACTAATCATTAAACTCATGCTTTTGTTAAAGTAAGCCCTGATTTTGCAATTATCTGAGGTATAAAATTGTTGTCACTGTCTGATGCAAACGTTAATTAAAAATTTAACATTCTGACGCGACAGGATCATAATTATTCCCCAGATAGCCTTTATCTAACCATTGAAAAATCAATAAAAAGTTTGTGAGTATGGTTGAGTGAATGTTTGTAACTCTTTTGAAAGATCCAATGATCAAAGGATTATTGTTTTTTAACTTGTCCTCTAACAAGGCTAGTTTGTCCAATCACTGTAGCCGTCAACAATTTAAAAACCAATTGAATGTCGATCGTCACACAGGCTGATTCTCTGTTGGACAGACGTAGGGTCCACACTAGAGAGCATAAAATCGGTAATCCCTTTGGACCCCCAACTATGTCAGGTTTACTCTCGACTTTGAATGATTAGTGTTGGAATACGGTAGTTTCCTACTAGTCAAATTCAATACTTTTAACCAAATGTCGAAAACTATACTTATCTATGATTTTTTTATGAATGGTCATTTTTTTAATTTGCTAAATTACATCGAAAATCTAGTGCATCGACAGATCGATGAATTTAAGTAGTAGATATTTTTCAATATTTTATTGCATTGAAACGTCGAATTTATTTAATTATTTGATCCAGGAAACTGACCAATTTGTGTAATAAATTTGTTATTGAAATTTTTACAGGCACACACAAGGAAGGCAGTTTTCAGTAGAAGGTTTAAAGATATGCATAGACTATTTTGTGAAGCGAGGACACTCGGTCAAAGCGTTCGTGCCACGATTCAGGTAAGATCACTATTCTTTTATTCATTCAAACTCAAACTCTTTTTAAACACGTTGCCCCACATTAGGATTTCTCCCGTGTCGTGAGAGCGTTTACAAACAATTTCACATACAGCTCTCGCCAAACTTTGTGGCCCCCCTGAATATAGTCGCGAGTCCGAACTTGCGCATGGTACAGTCGAATGGGCAATACGTAATCAACCAATATTAGTATATACGTAATCAACCAGTATTAGTATATACGTAATCAACCAGTATTAGTATATACGTAATCAACCAGTATTAAAAATGTTAGGAAACGGTAATTGGTTGATTACGTATTGCCCACTCAACTGTACCATGCGCAAGTTCGGACTCGCGACTATATTCAGGGCGGTCACAAAGTTTGGCGCGGGCTGTACATATTACACATAGACCCGGAACAACAATTTGTTGATCACACATAGAGTTTGTTGAGGGAATAGAAACCGCGACAATTTGCGCAGCAGCCAGTTGCCCACCCACCGCACCAACCGTGCAGTCAGTATTTACATAGCAGTATACTATATCCAATATTTATGAGTTGCTGAGTTATTATGGTACTTCATAAATTATGTAGAGACCACAGAAATTCGGTAAAGGAAAGCTTCATTCGGAAACCTGGATTAATAAGTTTCAAATCGCCAATCAGCCTTTAGCAAACATGTTGATTTATGGTCAAACCTTCTCCGTATGAGAAGAGGCCTTTGCTCTGCAGTAGAGAGTTATACGCTTATGTTGTCTTTCGCTGTGTGAGTGTACCAGAAGTTCAGTCCATTCCTGGACTAACATGGATCTATTCTACATGAAAGAGGTTTGCCACAATCTCTATTTTTGGCAAACTGATTGGAGGTTGCAGTTCAAAATATCCAGGCTTTTCAGAGATTGCTCTACTTGATCTCTGTCAGATGCGAAGCCCCTTATGCGGCTTATATGACACTTGAACAATCAGAATAAGTGTGGGAGAGCCATGCTTCGGCACGAATGGGTCGGCTCGACCGGAGTGATACCACGGCCTCACAGAATACTGGCGTGAAACAACCCACAGTATTGTGTTTCGCTGTGTGAGTGAGGTTACCGGAGGCCCAATCCCTCCCCTTCCCCTATCCCTTCCCGTTCCTTTTATCCGCAACCCCTATCCCTAAAAAGCCGGCAACGCACTCGTACCTAATTCATTTGGTGTTGCGGGTGTCCATGGGCGGCGCCGATTGCTTACCATCAGGTAATCCGTCTGCTCGTTTGCCGACTTATACCATAAAAAAAAAAATATTTTCCTCTCTTTTTATTATTTTGTTTAAGGTTGTTCAAAAATTTTACTTGTTCTTACAGATGTAAATACGGTAAGAGTTCAGACCCTAACTTGCTAAACTATCTGGAGCGTCAGGGGCTGGTCGTGTACACCCCGTCACGGGAGATCAAGGGCAAGAACTGCGTACCTTATGATGACAGGTAAGGAGGCAGAGGTTCACATAACGCCTCGCTGACCCAGACTGTTTGACATGTTTCATTCTTAAGTCCACGGGATTTAAACTCATGTTTCTGTGTTCGATATTTTTGAACACTTGCAATGCCTCGATACCATTGATAGTTAAATTGTACCAATATTTATGAACGCAACAACCAGAGCGTTGTGTTTCGCTGTGTGTGTGAGAATACCGAAGGCCCAATCCTTTCCCTTCCCCAATCCCAAAATCTCTAATTCCTTAATCTAATCGATACTGTCGAATATGCCTGCTCCTTTTGAAACTCGATTAAATAAAAATAAATTATTGATAATATCTATCTATACATCAAAATTTATCTGACAAATCTCCATTCCAGGTACATACTGCAATGTGCTGCGGAATTCGACGGCGTGGTCGTGTCTGGCGATAATTACAGGGATCTTATAAACGAGAATGCAAGATGGCGGTATATAATTGAGAACAGAGTGCTACCATTTACGTGGGTGAACAACATGATCATGTTTCCAAAGGATCCCTTCGGACGGGCTGGTCCCACCCTCGAGATGTTACTCAGACACCCGTCACCGACCACGACTCAGTGTAGCACAGGTTTATTCTCCACCAATGTTGATAAACAATCATAATAATTTGTAAGTTGCTCACAGTCGCAACTATCGTAGAACGAGAGCCCGCGGCGATTAGACCTCTATTATGTTATCAACTAGCTACTCTCACACGGTATTCTCGATAAACTTACTATAGCCTTCCTCGGTAAATGGACTGACAAACACAAAAATAATTATTCAATTTGAACCAGTAGTTCCGGAGGTTAGCGCGTTCAAACAAACAAATTCTTCAGCTTTATGATATTATAAGTAATAAGTATAGATATGGAAATTTTCGATGATTAACTATTGGATAGTTTCCTTTGTCAAAAATAAACTATTTCAACATTTCAATACAATTAAATATTCAAAAGTTATAATACTTTCATTCGTCGACTTATTGATATACTTGATTTTAAATTTTTTTATGTAAAATTTTAAGAAATGAATAATTATGCTATTTGACGCAAAAATATTACGACATCGCAGGTTGCTATTGATATATGCATTTAAATAAAAATATTGAATTTGATTAATTGTAAAGGGCGCGTTCAAATCAGCATGAGTCAAATCTCATGTAATCTTACGTTGGAGGGAATGGGGGTTGGTCTCTGCAAATATCACATACTAACTTTTATGGTATTAACGCGACAATAGTTATCTAAATAGCTTGGGTAGGCTTGGTAGGATCTCACGACATCTAACTGAGAAGAGGAAGGAGGGTCTGAAATTTCAAAAAAAAACACCTCGCATAATATATAAACCCCCCAACTACCGTATAAAACACGTCCCAGGCGCACCTAAAGTTATTACAAAGAGAAATTCGAATTATGTTTATCATAAGAAGATGTATGTCTAATTTTCGTCGGCTCTTGGTCTATCTACCATTTATATTTATTGTAAATATCAAAAATACCTCACGGGTCGAGCTAAATAAAACCGTTTAAAAATTGCGACATTTTGTGATAGTGATGGCTAAAGGGGTCTTATAGGGCTGGTTCAATAACTTATCTTTATATTTGCTCCGTATTTGCCACAAACTATACACTGGTAGAAAATAGGCCTCCAATAACAACGGCCGGAGGGTACCTGCATCCTGCTGGACACTTTTTTATGAGTAAGGTCGGCAAACGAGCAGACGGATTACCTAGTGGAACAACAGGAGTTACGAGTGCGTTGCCGACCTTTTAGGATTAGGGGTTAGGTCTGGGAGAGGGGAAGAATCGGGCCTACAGTAACCTCACACGGCGAAACCCAATGCTTTTATTATTTCACGCCGGTTTTCTGTGATGCCGTGGTATAACTTCGGTCGAGCCGGCCCATTCGTGCCCATGGCTCTCCCACACTTAAGACTGATCCCACACACTCCCACACTGCGGCTTTGTCTATGAAAAAAAAGCCACCAAAACATGGATAAATAAGTTTTTGAGAACTACCATTAGACTGTATCTAGCTGTAATATTTTTATATCGTCTAGTTATTATTTTATGGCCTTCTCCATGTTCATAATATATTGTTACATTTTAAACCTTATGTATACGTAAATTTAAAATGCCTAAGTACATTTAATACATATAGATTTGTATAATATTTTATTGTTATCAAACGTTATTGTCATCCATTTTATTTTAGGCCAGGTTTTCGTAGGCGTTTGTGCAATAATAACCGAATGTTATTATGATAACGTTGTCAATAAGATCTCCTTAACTCAAAACTGCATGGTGTGAAAACCAAATTAAAAGCAAAATTAGCTCATGAGTTCCTTCAGGTAAGCTTGGGAGATTGCCCAAATTTTGCAAAAGAGTCGTAAAACATTTGATTTGAATTATTATGTTGCGTCATGCTATGTTCAATGATGTTCAATGACGATTGCGTCCTGCTCAATGTGCAATGATGATCATATGTTGTACCATTTAAATTAAGATATAGACTCTCAAGTTACTTTAAATTCGAATGAGTATATCCACCTTTTTGCAAAGTCGCTTGGAAGTATCGAATGTCTGTTCTATAATATATCGGTTTAAGTGGTTAACCGATTTACTTAAATACCTGATTGTAAATATTTATACTTACATATTTTTTTTATATAAAAATACATCTTTTACATTTAGGGTTGATTTTTCAATGGTTAGATAAAAGTTACCTGGGGAATAATTATGATGCTGTCGCGTCAGTGTTTGTATAAGACAGTGACAGCAACAATTTTATTTCTCTGATAACATTTATCCTTTAAAATAAGACTGTTTTTACTTTAATGTGGGTAAGAGACAGCTAGACAATTTGTATAGCTCTTTCTCATAAAATTAAAACAATGTTACTTTGAATATCATGGTTAGCTTCCCTGACTATTGAAAAATCTGCCTATAGTTAAGTTACCTAAACCGATACCGGCTTCATCTAGTTTTTCACATATAATTTGACGTGTAAAAGTGCCGTTTTATGGCCTATTTGCAAAAATAAATTCATTGTTTCATTGATAGAGTAGTACAGATGTTAATCAATGCCAAATGTTCCGCGAAAACCTAAACATTTTTAATTTTTTAATGTAACGTTTTACGCAATGCAAAATTAAATACACCGTCGTCTATACTGTTCTATATAAAACGCCAAATCGACGGTGCCTGCTCGGTCCCTTTTGGTTTGCAGTTCCAAAAGAGCTTAAGCAAACTGAACCTTGTTATTTAGTACATACATTTCATTTTATTTCTAGTTCAAATTAAGCACAAAAGTTTGTGTCCTGGTTACCATTTTGTTATTTTCGGCATTTTATATTACTGAAATACACTGAAAACCGGCGTGAAACAACCACAGCGTTGTGTTTCGCCGTGTGAATGAGGTTACCGAAGGCCCAATCCTTCCCCTCCCCCAATCCCTCCTCAATCCCTAAACCTCCAAATCCGTAATCCCTAAAAGGTCGGCAACGCACTCGTAACTCCTCCGTTGCGGGTGTCCATGGGCGGCGCTGATTACTTACCATCAGGTAATCTGCCTGCTCGTTTGCCGACCCATTACATTATAATAGGTGACTAGTAATTACTGACCGATATTTAAACACGTAACTACTCATGATAACAAACAACCTCGCAGTAAAGTAAAATGCCGAATATGACAAAATAATAACCAGGACAAATGTCTGTTTCCTTAATTTAATCTAGAAATAAATGTCCTAAACAACAAGGTTCAGCTTGCTTAAGCACTTTTGAAACTGCAAACCAAAAGGGGCCTTATGGCCTCCGTCGATTTTTTATATAGACCGTCACGAAGTGACGACAATTGAAGCGATAGGATTACTTTTATACCTACGACATAGTTATTTTATCTTCATTATCACCAAAGATTAATAATACCTAGTAGTAGCAGCCTATTGAGATATCAGAGGCTGGAGGGTGATAGTAATTATAACATACATGGTATTTTAATATAGATTTTATTCATAGATTATATAATTTAAGGATTCCTTTCAACTTTCCATATTATCCAAGTACGTAATGAAACATTTGTCCATAACTCTTATATGATATGTGGCTCAATAGTTTTTGATTTTTAGTTATGAATTTGATAGGGGTGTCTTTTAAATTTTAATATTTTTATGTATTTTTTTTATATGTCGCAGCCATATAGTTGAATTAACCATCCAACCAACGGTTATTAAGACAAGTCGATTGATAAAATAGCAAAATTTCTCAAATTAAATTGAAAGATGAAGGTGTTGCCATGAAAACCGAATTGCTACCAGAATGGTAGGTTAGGTAAAAACTGCACAAAAACGAATTGCTGTCTTAAATAAATAGTTTCTCAAATTGTACTACAATCGAAAGGGCTATCTAATTGATTGAATGGCTATTTTAACCAGTTGGCTGCGACTTACGTAAAATATTTTTGTGTTTTATATTTCCGTTACGTTATACGTTTGCGTACCGTATACGTTTACGTTTTACTCCTTACTCAAGTAACGTTTGGTAAGACTACCAATTATGATTACAAGCAACACTTTTAAATATTTCCAATTGTAACTTCTGTTTTGTAGTTCGATTGAGAGTTGTGGATCCGGTCACCGATTCAACTGTCAACATTAAGTTTTGTTAGGGGAAAATCATCAAATGTATTCTCCTGCCTAGGGTGGAGCAAGAGGGGGTATCAGAGTCTTACTGACTAAAACCATTCGTTCCTTCTTCTCTAGACCGAAGCCAAATGCGTGATCCCTAGAGTTAAACCTAGTCATCTCGCCAACCGATACGTTAGTTAAACTTTAAACATAATCAGTGAGAATTTTCTTAAATAAATACCTATTACCAAAACCACCAATTAACCGTGTAACAAAAGTTTGACGTGTCTGTGTACCTGTGTATTTGTATGTCTGTGGCATCCTAGCACCGAAACAGATGAACCAATTTTGATTAGTTGATTAATGATTAATAGAGTTGATTTGTTATAGAAATTAAATTATCTTTGCGTAGTGTTTGTAAGGTTATTTTACAATGTCAAATGTTACCCATGAATTTTATCAAAAATTTGTCTTTGTCTCATTAGAAAAGCGATGTAAGTACACCCCTATCTCCATTTTTTACAGATATTTAGGGAAATATTTATAGTTACTAGTATTTAGATTATTACTGCATTACCACGAACAGAAGCCCTTTGCCATCAGCCGCGTAACAAAGTCTATTATTTTAGTCATTTTTATTTTCTAAAAGAGGTCGCAACTTTTTGGTGTATTTTTAAGTTGCCATAGATTTATTACATTTAATGAATGGGGTACGTGTTTGTAAAGTAGTATGTAATTAAAAAAATAAAGATGAAAATTTCATTTTGATAAACATCAAAATTTGTAAATAAAAGTTGTTTTTTTAATGCTGTATTTTTTTTCTTACACTGCTTTTCCTTTTTATGTCACACTGTACTTGTTTTGTGTTTCATGTTTAAGCCCGCTTTAAAACTAGAAAAAGAGACGACAGGGTGCAAGGCCATGCAACACCTTCCTGGACAAACTTCGATTTTAAAAGATTTATTTCTAAGTCGTATCAGGGATCAAAAAACAGAGATCTATTTGCCAATCACCGCTGTTGATGCCAGCGCCCGTCGATATCTCTGGATTTTGCGTCGGAACAAGACTTGCCCAGTGTCTAATAAACGCGCCATTAATTTTGTCTGCCAAAATATATAGTATACCTACTGTTAGGACTGTCCCTCGTGTCCCATCAATCGCCGCCGTATTAAGGCATAGAAGTCATCTATTCTGGCCTTCGCAGAAATACCAGACGCGCTACACCATCAAGACAGTAAGTTCTGAACTTGATTATCTTTGTCTTGTTAATTCGCTGAGATGAGAGCTGGACATGTTCTATATTTATTTATATATATGGAGGAATGTACTATATTTATTTTGAAAAACCGT